TGTTGTAATTAACTAGAGCCACATAACCATCTTTGTGTTCCTGAAGCTTCAAGAATAATAGCTAATAACTAATATTTAATTATCAAATAAACAACTAATTTAAACAAGGAGTAAGAAAAAATTGTTCCAGAATGATAAGGACTTTTGGAAGACTTATAGACACCTAAAATCATCATCAACTTAGCTGCTAATGTCTCCAACAATTGAATTACACTGTGCCATGGAATGATAGCCTTTTAAAATAATGAATGACCAATGCTTTTGCTTTCCTCAAATAAAAACAGTGATTGGATTGAATCACTTCATAATTTGTTCATTCATTTTAATTCTGTTAGCAGCTTTGGGTTTCAATCTGCATAAACTCATTGAGCCAGCAAAAGATCAGACAGAACAAAAATTGTTCCCTTCCCTGCTCCCAGGAGCTGAGAAGTCGGTATGCCATTTGGAACTGGATCAGATTTATTTATTCAAATCCTGGCACTGTGTATTTTTTTTTAACTTTTAATCAGCTTTCTTTCCCCCCTGTTTTCAGGATCACTGAGGCCTATTGTCTCTTAGCTGGCTGAATACAGACCTAGAACCTTAACAGTCTGCATCACTCTGATACCACGACACATACACTGCATTTAGCCACTCGGGCGAAGCCTGTTTCTAATTTTGGTTTTGAATACACTCTTTAAAAATATTTTTCCTAGCTTAAACTTTAACTGAAATGTAAGATTCTTGTTAAATGTATTCTTTGGGCAGATTAAAATGCTAACGTCATTCAACAAATGGAATCTGTTTGAATAATAAACTTTTTCATCACACAAGGAAGATTTACCTTTTGCGTAAAGTTGTTTTTGCAGCTAAGCAGTCCCCTTTAGATGAAAATTATTTTGCCCAGGAAGCTTTATAGTTTATCTTTGCACAACTAAGCAGTAGATTTTGACTAATGAGAGTTTCTGGAAAATATTTTGAGTTATATTATTAAAGCATAAATATGCTTCTACATTCTTATTTGCCTTCAGGCTTGTCTGTGACCTTTGAAAATTCCTATTCAGTAAGACATGAATACAAATACAGGATCCATAACATTTTGTTTGATTTTTACAGGTTTCATTTTCTTGGTAATTGAAGTTATTCTTTCATTTCTCTTGAAAACAGTGACTTTTTTTCTTTCATGGGATGTAAGTGTCATTGGCAAGACCCACATTTGTTACCCATCCTAACTGCCCTTCAGTTGAATGGCTTGCTTTAGAGGGCACTTAAGCGGCAATCACATTTATATGGGGCTGGAGACACATGTAAGCCAGAACAGGAAATGTTGACAGGATTTCTTTCATGAAGAAAATTTAATGGATTAGATGGGTTTTTACAATCATTGGTAATTCTTTGGTCATTGTTACTGAGACTACCTTTCATATTCCAAACTTATTGATTGAATTTAAAATCCACCAGCTACCCTAGTCATTAAGTTGGGTGTCTGGTTTACTGGTCCAGTGACTTATAATAACTTTAAATCTGGGCAGGAGGTTGATACTGAGATAACAAGGTGCAGAGCTGGATGAACACAGCAGGCCAAGCAGCATCAAGGAGCAGGAAGGCTGACGTTTCGGGCCTAGACCCTTCTTCAATAGATTTAATTTCTTGTAGGGATCATAAAAGTGTACCCAGCAAATTTCTGGGTCACCTGCTGGACGTCTGGGGTGTACCATGCATTACGTAAGAGCTCTGGGACCCCAGAGCAACCTTGCGATGTTGCCATACAGCTGCACACCACTGAGCATAAATTGACGGTGTGGACGGAGTTAGAACATATTAGAAGGAACTACGATGGCACACTAAGTTCACAATGATCTGAATTCATAAAGGTGATAGCTACATTATGTAAGGACCAATCTATAATCACAGCCTGGTATATCTATGATTACCATGAATGGCAGTGTTTAGTACTAATGTATAACAAACAGTGTTACTTTGAAGTCTAAGCCTGAAGACAGTTCTTGACTTTGTCTTCTCTTTGAAGAGTCTGTAAAGAACGCAAACTCATAGTGTGGCATCAAACTTCTAAGAGACTGATAAAAGACTCTACACTCCTTCATTTACATTCTTGCATTGTTAATATTTGGTCTTGATGAACTGGTGTTCCATGTTACAGTGGCAGCAATAGTTAGCATGCCACTCTTTAACGGGGACTATGGCTGACTTGTTGGTGAGTGACTAGAAATCATCTCATTTTGGCAGATGCTCTAAATTTAAAAGGCAACGAAAAATCAGAATTGTCACTTCCAAAATGCACGTTTGCATTGTCTTGTTCAGTGGTGCAATGGTACTGAGTGAGCCTGCTTGGGGATAAAACCAACATGTTTTCTAATCGGGTCATGTTTGTTCTGTAGGTCTATTTTGACAGCAATCTCCCATACTCTTTAAGCTGCTATGTTTTGTGATGTTTCAAGGTGAGTGAGTTGAGGGCGATTGATCAGGTTCTTTTTTCCAATAAAGTTGCTATTCATTTCTATGGCTTTCTCAATGTGGGTTGTGGCTAACAATTCAAGAAGTCTATGACGTTCCTGTAGATTTATGGGTAAGCGTTAATCCAGTCCTTACTGTAGCATGAGAGAAAGATTCTGTTTACTCTAACCTGTGGGTCATTGAATATTGAGTCATGCATAATTTTTCTTGTTGTCCAGGGGTTTTGGGGAGTAGATTTTCACTTCTCTGATGGTAAAGAAGCTTGATTTCTGAAGAAGGGTCCTAACCCAAAATGTCAACTTTCCTGCTCCTCTGAAGCTGCCTGGCCTGCTGTGTTCCTCCAGCTCCACACTGTGTTATCTCTGACTCCAGCATTGGCAGCTCTTACTATCTTCTCTGTTGATCTTCTTTATTTGTCAAGCTTTGGTTCTGTTCAAGCTCCACTTGGCATATAATCAAGACTGACACTTCAGTGTAGTACGGTACTGAAGAGATACCTCATTTTTCCACATTACTACAATGAGCACACTTCACAAATATTTAATTGGCTGTGAAATAATTTAAACATTCTGATTATTTTTTTCTTTTGTGTCAAAGCCTTGGATTACTTTATTTCTATAAAGTATCCAATCAACAAATTTTAAGTTGATGTCCCAGACGATCATCCCTCTGCCACATCACGAAGTCCTCCAGCAAAGACACATTGAAATGTTTGTGGTACAGGTGCCCATCCAGTTTGGAAATGCTAGAATATCTGATTTCATGTTCTTTTCCACCCCTAACTGATTTAGTGCTGTATGGACAAGTGACCAGCAGAAGAGCAAAACTGACCCTGTTTCTAACCCTAAAATTCATATTTGTTAATATTCCATACACTGTACTCCTGCATATAATTATAAAACTGTCCCTTTTTTCCCCTCTCTTCTCCCACAATTAGGGATGGGTAATAAATGCTGGCCTGCCCAAGAATAATGATTTTAAAAAAATGTTGGAAGGATTTGCACATTGATGCTCAACCTGTTTAGTTGCTTTATGAATACACCTTCCTTGGCCATTACATCCTTAGTGACTTGAACACGGAGCTTCTTGATCAAAGGCAGGGATGCTTCCCTTTGCATCACAATGCATTAATCTAACATAGAATGTAACATTTTCTTTTGCATGGTTTCTGTCAGATCTATCATTGCCTGCATTTTTATAACATTAACACCCAAGTGCTGAGTGTAAACATCATTAGCATGAGATTTAGATTGATAACGTTCATGATTGACTATCAAGGCTGCTTCTTTGGCACCTTTTCTCATTGCAATGTACATGGACACTTTCTAGACAGCCACATTGGACACAATGTTAATGGGAACATTAGCACTGAACTCCACGAACAGCCACTGGATATTTGCAAAGCAGGTAGATCGTTATGTCAGTCAGCATATATTGGTGACTTGAGGCCAGTGGTAATATTTTGCAGAGTAACTGCAGTGCTGATTTTCCAACTCCTCAATGATCCCACTTCCCCTCACCTCCCCTCTGTCACTGGGTCACATCACCATGTCCAATTTGCATGATGCAAACTGTAAAGCAAACACGAAATAAACATCTCAAACCAAACTTCTAAATGAAATTGTGCCACATTGCTAAAATCAATTATTTGTCCTAGTGCATTCACTCTGTGTTTGTCTACCATGTGTCTTTGCCTGGCCTACTACTCCTATGGAGTGCTGGTCCAGTGTCTGCAGGATGACTGACTTGAGGCTACTGAACTCAATTGGGAGTGACTACAGATGGCCTCTCAGGACAATCTCAAGCAGTTACAGGTTTAAAGGTTTCTATGTGGACTGCCTCATGGTCTGCCTGTTTGATGGTACAGGTGTAGAATGAATGCTGTCATCTTGAGAGACGTTTGTGTTCCATGGTGACATTCTAATGTGAAAATTCAAGCCCTTTTGCACATGGTTAGCCACACCCATGATGCATGCAGTCTGAATGTGCCTGACTTCTGTTTTAGCTTCTACTGCAACAGACATTGGGTGGTTGCTATTTGTACTATAAATGTTTGAGATATTGGCCGTCACATGCTGCATCAGTTTCGGGTTCATGGGCGAATGATTTGGCCATTATTTCCCTCCTTAGAAAGGACAGACAACAAGCTCCGAATAAGATGCTATGAAAAGTCAGTGGTAAACCCCTCTATCCTCTAATTTACATGTAGTGTCAGTATCATACTGAGTTAGTGGCTGCTTTGGCGAAATTGAGTGATGGTATGTCTTCATCATCACTATCTTCTTGCTGATTTTCATTGGGTAACTGTAAGGTAAAAACCAAGTGTACATCGTGGTGTGGGAGAAACGAGTTGTTGAGGGGGAGAAGGGAAGAGTTGAATGCCTACACGTCCTGCAATGACAGGAGAGTGTGGGCTGAGAAGGAATAAGCTTTGAGGAGGCTAATTAGGTATGAGGATTCTGCCATCTTCAATGTTTTCCATTTCTCCATTTCAATGGCTATGGTGTCAGCAATAAATAAAAGTCATCACTGTGTGCTTCATTTAGGGAATACAGACCTGCCTCTTCCTCACCTGCTGCTCCCAGACATGTACTGCCTTCTACAGCAAGAGAGAAGGAACTGTATTTGGTGAGTGTCATGCATTCTGTTTGGGTGATATGGCTGTCAGAATTGAACAGTATGCATGCAAGCTGTGTGATATGGTGTGAGGCTTGCAGGAGTGTCAAGTGTTTCGAGGGATAGTGAATCTTATGAGTGAAAGAAAGATACTGCAGATGCTGGAAATCTGAAACAAACTGAGGGAATGCTGGAGAAACTCAGCAGGTCTGGCAGCATCTGCTGTTTGTACAATAAATGCCTGAGATATTGGCCACCAGATACAACATCAGTTATGGGTTCATGGGCGAGAAAAATAGAAATAATATTTCAAGTTTGTTTTGACTATTCTTCAGAACACAGAAGAAGACTCATAGTAGACTCGAAGTAACAACTCTGTTTCTGTTTCCACAGATGCTGCCAGACCTGATGAATTTCTCCAGCATTCTCTGTGCTTGAAGCATGTGAATATTTAGTCAGAGCCTTAATTGATTGAGATTGTTAGCAGATGAATGTAATTGGTGCAATAAGGAATTGGGCAATGCATTCACTGACATTGAACATTTGAATTAAGTTTTCAAACTGCTTGTGGCACTGTATTCATATTCCCAAGGCTTGACCCCTGGCATCGTCCTCCTCGGCTTTCTGTTCTTCCTGCCTTCAGGACACGGATACAGGACATCTTTCCTCTTTTTGCCTTTTCTAGCATGGACTCCAGTGCTGCATCTGAAAACCTTTGAAGTCTGATCTGTACTACATTATGCCATTATTCAATGTCTCACGAGTCAGGATCCCTTTCTGCATGACTGTATTACTTCCAACAAAGACTCCAGCCACAATCCATCACTCATTAAGAAGAATAGCCAGTCATAATATTGACTCTGCTCTGACATCTGATGGCTATTGGTGGCTCGACATCATTGGAAGGAGAAAGCAGCAAGAGGTTTATATGTTGCCTGTATGATATTGCGATCAACAGGTACAGGTTAACCGCATGCCACAATCCTAAGTGTTTTGTGGGCCTGAATTCGAGAACCCCTGTTGATGTTTCACAGAATAATGTATATTAACTCTTTATTCATAGTTTTTGGAGGATAACCATTATAACCTGGAATATTTGTATCTTATTTAAGTATATTTTCTTTTCAAGATGTAGAATTGTGATCTTGACTCTCCCCTCCAAACTGGTCTATTCCCTAGCCAACAACTTGAATGGGGAAAGAACCTGGGAATTAAATCCTTTTTTGAAAGGGGCAGTAAGTGATTTTGAGAAGAAATAGCCTGTCTGTGCAGCTCACTTATCAGAATCAGACAAATTAAGATTTTTTTTAAACATTCTATACAATTCCTGTACCCAACAGATCACACCCTTACCATTTGACACTTGAATGGTGGTTTGTACAACATTTTTTTTACAGCACTGCACTTTTGTAAAGAACTGAACATCTTTAAACTCAAATTATTCAAAATGAAGTTAAGTTTACATATTAACAAACTGATGCTATGAATTTCATTGTTGGTGAAGACCATGATTTGATATTTTAACACTTTGTTTTAGAAATGTGGATATGAAGGGGTGGATTAATTGGAAACACTAGAGTTTTACAGACCAGCTTCAGAGTTGCTACACTTAATGGTAGGGTGCAACCAGCTATATATTTAAATATTCAGATGGAGGTGTATAATTTCACAGTGCCCCATGATACAAAATATTTTTCTAGCAGTGCAATGCTAAAATTTTGCTAACTGGAATTAGCATTGAGGCATCAATGATATCTGGCATGTGATCTAAGGCCTAGTGTTGTGAAAGAACTTTTTGATCCTGTTTTTTTATTCCTGTCAGAAAGGTTTTGGAATTGTTGGTTGTTTTATCAACTGTGGTGACATAAGGGGTGAATTCTTGTAAGAAGACCAGGCAGAGTGGTTTTGAATTGTGAATAAAAAAAAATAAATAAGTACAGTCTCTCTGCGGTAAACATCTCTTATTTAGTTGGGGGTTGTATTTCTGCTTGATTGTGCTGTTTCTTTCCAGTGTAATTCTCCCAATGTGAGCCAAACCAGTGTATAAAGTCAGGAATTTTAAGTGCAAATTGCATCCAACTCAACTTTGTAAAGCTATATAAATAACTGTTCAGTTACTATATAAAACTTCATACTCACACCCTCCAGATCAAATTAATCAGCAAATAAGTTTGGTCAATTGCAGCCATAAAGAGGCCTTTGAAGGGGCTATTAATGCTAAGATGCTCTTAAGAAACAATTTAATTTTTACATTTTTAGTAATTTATTTTCAGAAATAAAACTTTAAAGAAATTGGCTCCTGTATGCCAAAGAAATATAGTAAATGGTTCCAAATGGTTTCACGAGTCATTTTCAGTCACGTAAAATCAGGCAATGGCCAAGACATTGATTAAAATGCTTTATGGATAAACCCATTTTCAGTTGTATCAATCACACTGTATCAGGTTGTCACCTCTTATATATATTATAAACTGATGAGATCTTAAAATCTAAAATGTTGCTGGTTCATGGAAAATGTTACATTTGGTGATAAGCAAATGATTTTGAGCAGAAACTTGAGCAAAAAAAAAGTCAGTTCAGAAGTCTAGGCACTCATTTGCCTCTTAGTGAGCAGGCTGTGGATTCGAGTCCCACTCCAGGACAAGAGCACAAAAATCTTGGCTGACACTTCAGTCTGCTGTTGAAAGAGTACTGTGCTCCCAAAGGTACCATATTTCAGATGAGACCTCTCAGCTGGAAGCAAAAGATCCCTTGGCATTATTTTGAAAATAAGCAGGGGAGCTGTCCTTAATGTCCTGGCCAGTATTTGCTCTTCACTCAATTGCACAAAAACACATTCGCCCCACTTTTCAGTTCCTGGGTTAGGTACACAGAGGCAGGGGAAATTCTGGCACCCTTAATGTGACATTTTAAGAAGGCTGTGTGCACTTCCCATTTGTTTCCATGGCCAGTCTGGAGTGAGAGTTAGGTTCAAGCAATCCATGATGAGTGGGGGAAGTTGTACCTTCCCAAGGTAAGCTGAGTGGAAATCCTACCTAGAGACTCCAGTTCGGTTCCAAGTTTTTCTTATAGAATATGAAATTAAAACATAAAGCATTCCTCCTTCTCTCAGCTTCTCAATGTCCATCTCCCATTCATGCCAACACATGCCACATTATGCTCTTAAACCCAATCTATTGATGATTCATCCCCCATTTGTCACCCCCTATATGCCCCAAATAATTTTCATGGCCCTTTATAGTCCTTATGTCAAATTACTACTAATGCAATCTAATGCTCTCTATCATTCCAATAGCCTGACATTCTCTATACCAAGTTAATGCATACTTCCACCACTGCACTTTCTCCCTTCATACACCATGCCAACTTATAACATATCCATAACTCCCCATGTAATAAGGAAAAAAAAGTCCTATTACAGAAAGATCTACATTGTAGCCTACACTTTATTGAGAAAAGCACCCTCAATCATGAAACAAACCCTTATTTATAAAAATCATAAAAACACATTTTAACACGACTGGACAGGTTTCAACAATTTAGACAGTTCCAGGATCTACCCCCCTTCTCCATGGTTATTAGTCTGAAAGGTCATCTGACTGCTCCCCTGCCTTTGTACCAAAAGGCTTCCTGATCCTCACCCCAAGTGTTATGGGACAGTATTCACGGATATACATCAAAGGACTACCCCGACTATCAAAAAGAAATCCACTGAAAACTGTTCTACTCTTACCTAGTTTAATCACCATTCTCTGGGTTCCAGACACTATGAACTCCAACTTTCAATGGAGGCAGCTGGTCATTAAATGGTATTTTAAAAATGGATTTTTTGTTACAAGAGATAATTACCAAATACTGGTGTCTATCTCATTGTCGTTTGGGTGAGCTTGCTGTGTGCAAATTTGCTGCTTCACTTCTCATATTACAAAGTGACTACACTTCAAAAGTAAGAGCTGGCTGTAAAGTGCTTTCAGATGTTCACATGCTATAAAAGGCTCTGTATTGATGTGTTTTTTCAAAAGTTAAGCTTAATTTGCCAGAGATTTGTTCCTTTTTTGAGAACTCCATCCATATTTCAGTCCTTTCATATGTTTCCTTTGCATGTACTGCCAGCGTTCCGTAGCAATTTTCCTCTTTTACAATTTCTAATTCTGGTGCTTTCTGTGATTAATATCATAATATTAATGGTTGTACTTTAATACAAATATTGAGACTTCCAATTGCTACTTGCTATGAGGTAGGTAAAATCTGCACAATTAATGGTTGTAATCTTCTGCTTTGTCCAAACAGAAATACAACTTTGTACTTGGGTAATACTTCTGTCCTGGAATGTTTCCATTGACATTCAAGCTACATGCTCCGATCAGTTTAAATATCTAAGGTCAGTGTGCCCAGCATAAACTGTAGGAGCAAAGCTTTTAAACGAAGTGACCCCTAGGTTTGATTTTCATTTCTGGGTATTTTCCAAGCATTTGAAACAATATGACGTTGAAATACCATTTTGCCGACAGTTAGTGTTTGTATAAAATTTCTCTTTTTTTCTGTTAACCAGAGGCTACAACTCAACTAAAATAAACAGAACACTATTGCATGAAAATAGAAGAATAAAGAACTTAACATAAGCATTTTTTTGCCAGCATTTCCATATCATAATTTATAGGTCAAGCTGGAGACGAGTGTTTGGGTTTAGGTCATTGCATTAGTTTTACATTTTAATCTAAATTAAAAGAATACAGCACTTCTGGGACAGAGCTTTGTATCCGTGAATTGTACAATGGGGATTTGAGCAAAAGGAGTCAGTGGGTGCCAGCATAATTTCCCATCTGGAATTTCATAATTTGCAAATGAAACATTTGTAAATTCCATCTATTAAGTTTAAACTTTTTGTTCGACTTGACATCTTTTGCTGGGCTAAAAGTTGAAAATACACTCTGGGGTGACTTCCCATTCCCTGTTAGTTGTGTCTGCCCACAAGTGAATTGACATAAAGCTGCCATCATGATCTTATGGCAGTCCAAGCTGTGCCATTCTTATTTGTACCATGAGCGTCATGTCAGTGATACCCGGCAACTTCAGGCAGGGCAGACATAGGAATTTCCTTAGTTTCTGTGTGGTTTCTCTTCCAATCTCTGCTCAAGAGAGCAGCATATGCTGGAGTCTAGTGCTGTGCTTGTGACAGTCTCTCAGATCGCTCTATGATCACTGCTTACATTGGGATGAACTGGAAGCAATGTGAGTTTGTGGTCTTTGAGTCAAATTTCCTGGAGTGTAGGGACCTTTGATTGAACTTCAGCAAATTGTATGGCAATTTTCAGATCATTAACCTTGATTAATGAGAATAACTAAACTTGATGTTTTGAATAATGTAAAATATTATTTTGCTATTTACGTCTAGTGAGGAAAACAAGTATACGAAGCTCACTGGAACTGCAGGAATCTTTCACATGATTTTATTGATCACCAATGTAGAGTTTCATATGAAGCACATAGGTTTACAGCAGGAATTGATTCCTAATAGCTTCTCATTGATCTGAATGAAATTATCATCCAGGAAGTAAAGAGGGTGGAAGTTCATTATTGACCCCAGTTTGGATGTGCAGCACTCAGCAACATGAGGAAGGCTTCAAATTGGGCTTTGGGCCTTCCTTCAATCCACAAACAACATCAATCTAGCTGCATCATTTTCTATTCATTTCTCCCTTGTGTCTATCTAGCTTCTACTTCTGTATCTGTAGGATTTACCTCAACTACTCCTTATTCCAATCTCTGGCCACTCTCTGAATCCTCCTGAATTCCCTATTGGATTAACTAGTGATTACCTTATATTTACAACCTGTAGTTTTGATTTCCCCGCAAGTGGAAACATCTTTTTAACTACCCTAACAAATCTTTTAACAAATCTTTTCTAGAAGAATCCAGGCCTATTCATATGAAAGCAATTACTGCCATGGGACTAAAACAAGTTTTAGGCCTTTCATTTACATGTGGATTCCCTTCTGCCTGTTTAAGTGGTTTGTAGGAATGCGCAGAAAACTATCCAAACCAACATTTACACTGGATGTCCTTCCCAGGTAACCTCTGGACTTTGTGAAAGTCATAAATGGACTTTTATTGGCTCTTGTACACTTGTTAACACAATAAGATTTGATTTCCACTCCAAGTTATGTTTTTTATTTTAAATCATCTGCCATTTTTCCTTTTATCTAAATCCTGTATATGTTCATAGGTTACTGGAAGTAAATTGATGGTTTACCCAAGTATTTTAGTGCAAGTCCAATTGTTGACCACTGTCATGTTTGTACTGCATTTTTTGCAGATACACGCAGGGAACTGTTTATGGAAGTTGGCACAGATCGAAAGAGATGGCACTGATTTGTCTTATTGAGCTTCAGAATTCCTGCCAAGCAAACCTATCAAACAGCAAAATGGTCTTTTTAGTTCTACTTGCTATTTGTCTATACAACATGATGGATGTAGGTCTGTCAAGTCAGTAAGTGCAGATTCCCATCAAAAACATGTAAAACCAGCTTGGAACAGTTAATTAGTTGTCTTTCCACACCTTTCAACTGCAATCAGCAAGCAAAAAGATGTTTTCAGTCAGTTATGAGTTCTAAATTTACTCCAAACTCACTCCTGTGGATGCTCCATCCTACTGCTTCAAACCCTGATAGAAGGGATAATAAGGAAGTATGTGTTAGAGGAGAGACAACACTGAATGTTTATCATAAAAATCTTGTGCAATCCTTGTAGTTTTAAATACTTCACTTTGACAGAAAATAGAAGTTAACCATTGTCTTGTGGAATCATTGTCTCAGAATCTGGAGATAGTGGGGTTGGTGTTAACCAATCAACCCTTGGAATACATGTAGGCTAGAAAAGAAGCAGCCATATTTTTGATCCCTGACATTA